AAAAAGAAATTAAAATATAACTAAGACAAAGGGATTGAAAAGTAAATACAAAATAATTGAACAAAGTCATTGTTCAAACACATCATAACTATCAGTAAATGTATAAAACCTCTGAAAACCGAAATCCTCTGAAAACCGGACTTTTGGTCAAGTCCGGACAGGGTCCGGTTTTCAGAGTTTTTACTGTAGTCGAGTTCGATATATTATACTGTTTTATCGCATGATAAACAAAACTGAGAATTTTAATAAACATAAAATTTCAATTTATAATTGGCTTCTCTTCATTAATTTAATTTCCCACTAGGAACCTCGGTTACTTTTTATGTAACGTGTCAATGACCGATATTGTAAACCCCACACCATATGAGCCAATCTGAAGTATGTTGGGTGTTCCTGATTGGCTGGATGACTAGATACACAGAAAAATATTGCTGTCAATAATTGACGCGCCAGTATTACGCTAACCGCCGTTTCATCAGCATTTTGAATGGCATGCCAAGAGATGGATTTTTAAATTTATATCAGTTACAGAGCAGGCATAAAATAAGTCAAATAGGCATTGACCCATAATTGCCACTATTGGCATGAAGTGAACCATGTAAATATTATGCAAGGACGTTCCTTGATGTGGGAAATAAATATGCAAAGTTTCTTTGATCTTTTTCAAAAAGTTAATCACTAATTTTCTTCAAGCGTCATAACAAATTCAAGTACGCTTCACATTACTCCCCTGTTAAGCAGACAGTGCAGTCGAGTGAATAATTAGTTAATTAAATAATGCATGACGGCATAAAAAGAGAATGATTGCAGTACACATGACGTCAATAAATCAAAATAAGCGAACATATTACATATTTTCAAACTCGTATGCAGAGTGTCTTCTATCTCTTTCTGTATGGATACTATGTTATTCAAGCTCGTCTCGTGAAAATGTGTCTGTTTCGGATAATAATGTTTTTATTACAGAATGATACACAATAGAATAAATTATAGATTGCTTTATGAAAGTGATGCGTAATTATGTTGCTATTTTTTTTTTATATTATGCACATATGGATTTCTTCAGCACATATGGAGCTCAAATGCAATTCAGCATTTGTATGAATATTACGCATCGGTCTGTAGTGAGATTTCGTAAAATCTCTGTTTTTGAGTCCGTTTAGTGACATTTTCTTCATTCACATTGTATGTTTTGGTCACACCAGAACCCACGACGGAAAGAATATCTCGATGAAGACTGCATAGAAATCCAAAACAAAAATGTGTAATATAGAGGAGAGTCAGGAGGGTAGAATCACATATCGATTTTCTTAAAAAAAGGATTGAATCTTATATAAATTTTTAAAAAGACGAAAGCTTACCTTGCGATTGACCTATTTTTACAGTCACGTCTGGTGTTAAGCTTCACATCTGGTGCAGCGGAAATTCACATATAATTTTTACGGATGCCCATTTTTTAAGATACATATGGGGTTCCACCCCCGTGTTAACGGAGAAGAAAACATGCATTAACGTATAGATTGTCATGACCACGCGTTATTTTGCACGTTTTCAACATGCGAATTGACGTCGCACAAGCACATGGAAAGCATGGCACAAGCAATGACTTCTTTACACGAAATACAGATAACGAAACGCAAAATCACAATACAAAATTAAATGATGTACATGTAGAACGCATCACATTCGTTTCAAGCACTGATTTTATGTGTGTGTTGTTGGTTACTTTTGTGTCTGATTTGTGCCATTCGTGTTTTCGCCCCGCGACTCCGCCAAGCGAAAAGTCAATAATATTTGCAGTGGATATTAACTGATTGAAAACATGATTAAAAAAACATAAAGTATTTACCAAGTATTCAATTGCCATCTAATAATTAGTAAAGATTAATATTAAATTTCCATAAATAAATCTTTAAATTGATCTCAAAGAGGAGCTGTATAAAACCGAGTTCCAGAATTTCTTGTATAATACAGGTCAACATATTGAATGTGTTAATTGTATTTAATCAACATTTTCATATATTTGACCATACACCATCAAAAACAAATTCGACATTTGGAAAATAAATTTTTATAACAACCTTTGGCACGATTTTCACGCGATTTGTATAATTTCAAATTAAAGACACGCGTTCTTTAAATATATAAATACGTATCCAACCACAGAGGCAAATGTGTCGTTAATCCTATTATCAAATTACTATGTGTTTACTTTAATAACCAAAGGCACGTGTCATGATATATTTAATTAACAACAATTTATACCATGCATACAACAGTACAGTATCCACTTACAGACAATCAACACGATAATTTAGGTCATTGTATCAAGTCAATTATATTTATTTATTGGTTGTAAAATAATGACAATATGTTTGATTTAATGAAACATATTTAGAAATTAGATTAACAAGTGTATTCTAGCAATTGAGTAAAAACAGTTTAACCCAGGATAAAACCAAAATTGGTTTATGGATTATATTATTATTATTATTATTATTATTATTATTAATACATGGAATATATCTTGATATAATGATACTACTAATATACACATGATATCGATGTATAAATGCTCATGCTCTTCTCATGTTGTATATAACTGCCGCAATTGAATGTATGGCGAACATGTACATGTTTATATGCTAATAAAAATAATTGAAATTGAACTACATTTAATTATTACAAAATGTTTGATTGTTTTGTTAAATGGAAAACCCGAAAATATTGAATAATTTTAAACCGTGTCGTTTGCTTACAATAAAAAGAAAATATGTAATTTAGGTAGTCAACTGAATGAAAACATTATATTACAGGTATAACAATTGCCGACTATAGGTCAGCTGTGAGAGGTGACCGGGAGATTGCGTTCATTTGTCAGCCATGTAGTGCCACTGCTAGAGAAGAGCCTGCCGATGAATCTCTTCAGTCTTTTGCGGAGAACTCACACCAGTCCGACGAATCATGCAACGAGACGGGTTATGTGGTCAGTTCATCAGTCAACACAACATTTTCTAGTGAGAACTACGATGTCTCTATGTCTGAGTATGCTAATGAATCTCCTGCTGTATTTTTTTTTATATCTTTCTTGAACGTATTCTGAAATTAATTGTATTTTACAGGAAAAAGGCCTGTCTGCCGAGTATGTCAGTCATCGAGGGGCACACCGCTTCATCAGAAAACTTCTGTGTCTGCCATTCCTTCCTGCAGAACACATTGGTCCTGTGGTCCTATGGCAGACATAGCACACGACAGATTCGATGGACTGCTAACTTGCATTCGACGGACCTGGATAGACAATGATATGTGGCCAGTCCATTCTTGGTCTGTGTTTGGATTGAGCATCCGTACAAACAGCGATGTTGAAGGTAAAATCAAATTTTAAAATAGTATGACAATTTTAGATATTTAAAATAGACTGTATACATGGTAGCAGTCATACTTATTATACATCTTTGAGAAATGCCTTCATGGATTCATACATCACCGCATTAAAGAGATAAATATATCTATTATACTAGTAGTTGACCAGTGCCTATCTTATTGGTATTGTAATTTACTTCTATTATTTTATAGGATGGCATAGAAGACTGGATGGGAGGGGGGGGGGGCTGGGGGAAGGCCTCCATTCTACCATTTAGTAAAACTTCTGTACGATGAGGCCCAGGTAGCGGTAAGGAACTCTGAATTAGTTAGTGAAGGAAGACTTCGCCGCTAACAACGGAAAAAATACACCTTTCTCCAGGGACAGACGCTGTGGGACAAGTACAGGAATGGGGAGTTGTCATCAACGGGACTTCTAAGAGAATTCGGCAACTTATATAAGCCCAAAGAGTCGTAAGATGTCCAAAAAAAAAAGACAATGAAATATGTGCATGAAAAAAAAAACAATGAAAGTGAAAATATATGACATAATATTGACAAAAAAGACATACTATAATTATGATATTTTATCGTTGCATATGAAACATGTTTTTATAAAATAAATGTTATTGCTATTGATCGTCTTCGTGTTGTTTTTTTTTTTCTGTATGTAATTTAATCATAATTATGCATATATATATACTTATTATTAGATAAAAAAAAACTCCAAATATTCGCATACAAAAAGCGTCAAAATATGTCCAATTCAGTTATTTTATAATATATTATTTTAACAGTCTATAATAATTTATGAAATACATGTATATGAAAAACAAATAATAAAATATATGGGACGAGTTGACCAGGGCACGAGTTGTCCAAGGGACGAGTTGACCAAAAAGGTGACGAGTTGACCAGAGGACGAGTTGACCAGGGGACGTGTTGACTGAATCTTATTTTGTGCCGTACAGCTAGCCACTTTCTTTTTCATTAATTTTTTCAGGGGGAAGGGGGCGGGTACGTCGCATCAACACAGTATAGATTCTATGGCGACTTCACAGCTTGACTGGTGAAGGAAGAGCTCAGATCAATTCAATCACAAACGGGCACCGACGTTCCGTAAGCTAGCTGGATAACTTCCCGACGTGACGGATAGCTTCCTCGCGTGAAATAATTCAAAGTCCCTGCCGTCTTCAGGCCGTGAAGAACAAGTGGTTCGAAGTCAACGGACGACTTTTCTCTTTGAAAATATAACAAAGAATAATTCATATATATGTCTTTTATTAGTGTCACGATAAAAATAATATATATTATGACAAAAATAATTATATATAACTGATATGAATGGAAAAAAAACATGTCATTTTTAGCTGAAATTAGAATCAATGATTCGACATTTTCATGAAGAATAGTACAATATTTTAATAAACTTCAAGGAGTTTAAATGAACAGAGTTTGGCAAAATTATAACAAAAAGAAACTTTATGACAGTCACTAACAGGAGACCATATTTTTACTTCTCTTCAGTACTGTACTTTACTCGGGTCCAGAAAAAAAAATAAAACATTAAGTAGGTGATCAAATTTGTTTATTTACATCTACAACAAAAATTCAATTATTATTCAAATACATTAACAAATTTGTCTTTTACATGTTTTATCCAATGAAAAAAAATCTTCATATAACTTGATGTAGTGCTGAATTATCATTATAGCCATGTAAGAAATAAAATGAAACTTATGATTGAAATCATTGCAAAAATATTGACAAATTCATAAATAAAAAAATAAAACCACCATATACTCGTATAAGTACATCAAATACATGTATATGTATTTTAATAAATGATTTAAATAATTATATAAATGATTTACGTATAGCAGTGTATATTTTCTGGAAAGTGAGACAGTTACGGTCCTTGTTCAACTTACATGTACAAGTGTGAAAAAAATCATCTAGTGTACTAGGTTTTCGAGGTTATTGTGTTAATGGCAGTACAAAAAGGAGGAAAAATATAAATTAAACAAGAAGTTAAGCATAATATTTAAAATGGCAATGAATTCGGCACATGAAATATATTACTGGTCATGATAATAACATTACTCTTCCACCCTGATTCAACACCAATACAAAACAAAACAATGTAAAAATGTTTTCTTTTTTAGATATACTATGCTCAAATTTGATATTTGAAAATTATAGCTAATTGCTACACAGTCTCTTTGTAAATATAGAATAAACATGTTTTGACTTTACACACATAAGTAGATATGTTATGCTTTAAACTCTACACACTATAGGTTGACACAATATGAATAATTGTATATTACATACTGTCATTAAAAATACTGGAAGACAAACTTTACTTTACTCATAATAGGGAATACAGCTTCCCATACATAGTTTAAACATTATTTTTTTTCAAATAAGACGCATTTTGTGAGAATTTCATAGATTTCAGTAAATTTCTGGGGATTTGTTTTTTTTACTCAAAGGTGAGCATAAAATACCTTTCAGTTTACACATGCTAGTATAAGCTACACATAGTTCATAATTTTGACAGCATTAGAAATATTAAAGGGCTCTGTATTAACATTGAACTTTAATATATGGAAATATTAACAATTACAAAGGTAATAAAAAAATATTGGACAAGCTGGCTTGCTAGTCTACTATGATTTTTTTTAAGATGTGTACATGTCCAAATTGACTCCCATATTGTATCTGTTAAAAGTTCAATACCCTGTTTATTCTGTATCTTAATTAATTTGAGAAAATGCAAAATATGACCAGATATTGTTATGGTTTGACAAGTCAGATTCATTTTGGCACTGCGTTTTGGAAGTTCTTAGTAAAATTTATTCAGATAATTTTGTCTTTAACGGACGGCTTTTATTACAGTCGACTCTCGTTATCTCGAAGTCATTGGGACCGTCCAAAAAATATCGAGATAACGAAATGTCGAGATAAACATATTAGGGTTAGAACAAAGCGAAACTGATTTTACAAAAGACATGTGCATACTTTATGTCAAATAAACTATAATATCCCTATGTCTTGTTTTCATAGGCCTAGTCAATATTTGACAAAGTAACATTAGCGGATGTTTACCAGCGGAAATACGGGTGTCTGTGATAAAAACACATAGTGAGGTTTACTCAGTAATACACCAATATAGTGAATCTGATATCGGATATGGTTGATTCGGATATCCTCCCGGATTATTTATCGGGTCTTTCTCGAGATTGTTCCACCGCTGATTGATTTGGTGGTGATGTTGTGAAACAATATTGCAACGATAGCGTTTCTATACTTTTACTATTTCATTTACATTTGAAGTCATAATGAATTGATACAGTGTTCGAATATTTAAAAAGAATGTAAAATTCAGTTCCGATTTATAATTATTTACTCTACTGTGGCCTTTATGATATGTTACTGAACTCTTAACTGTGCAATATTTTACAATAATGCACACATAAAATCAATCTCTATTTTATTAAACCATGTCATATTGAGCTCTCAAATATCTTATCTTTTAGATATAAAATTAAAAACTTTTTTTAAAGCTGAAAACAATGTCAAAATACTTATGCAAATCATGAAATATATCAGTTATCAATTTTAAAAGTTAAAAACAGAAATATAAACAAATAAATAGTCATGACTATTTAGACAATGAAAAAAAATAAATACATATAAACAGCAACAAATGGAATGCAAATTAAATAACAATTCTGTTTCATATACATTTGTGTCATAAACAGATCCCCTTAATTTACTTATTATTGTGGTTAATAACTTCAACTTTATCTAATAAAGTTAACCTTTTCTATGTAAATGTTGGAATTTTTCAAGCATAAGGAAAATGTAGGTCTTCACCTTATGGTCATATACATGTTTAACAAATCATTAATAGTTTACTATCTATTAATAATTATTAATTGATTAATTAGCAGCTTTAGGTCTATATACAGCTGTAGATATATAAATAACTATAAATCTATAAATAGACATAGTTTTAGAACTTCTCTGACAACTACATGATGAAAGATGAAAAATGTACTACATGAATAGATCTTAATTGAACATAAATTCATTTTTGTTTATGAATTGATCATTCAAAGCTTATTCAGAAAACTTATTGCACCGTATTATGTTTTAGAGAACTTGCTTGGAAAAGTCAATAAGAACACAAGTACATTAAGGGATTTCAGAATAATGGATGCACAACATTTACCATATATAGGTTGTTATTACAAGTTCAGATATTTACAAATTCACTGATAGATGTTATTATACTATTTTATCCAAATTGAATGTCTCTTTAACACAATTTCAAATATAGTTATAGATACCATTTCTTTGCAAAACATCATAAAATAATCAATGTTGTATTAAGATTTTTCTGTTTAACAGCTCTGAAACAAACATTGTTTTAATTCATTTAAAAAGGAATCTTCAAAACCACACAGTTATCATAGAAATATATATAATATATAAATATTTCAATTGTATTAAATTCTATCAAAACTCTTATCTTTGCATGTCGACATACTGTCATACTGTTATGTCACATCCTGCAAACATGACGTTATTCTTACCCTTTGTATGTTTTCTAGATCAGAACACATGTCCCCCCCCCCCCCAAAAAAAGATAACTTTATTTTTTCTTTAACTTTTCTTTCAGTTTATTTTCATTGGTAGTATTTAGTCATGCATGAAAGTGATGTCAGGATCAACATTTCTTCCCATTATTATCTAAGATTTCATTCAACTTCTGGATGCATATCTCATAATTAGTCAAATGTGCATAACACATATGCAAAATTTCTTATATATGTAAATACTTTAGCATACATTTATTTGTATGACATATAAAATACAATGTTTTGCTTCTTTTTACGTCAAATATGTAAATGTTGTTTCATAACAATAAAACAATTAGTACAAAAAGTTTGGTCTCATTCAACAGAAAACCATGACTCACATTAAATATACTGGTCATATTATACAAATTTATAACAACAGTAAAATTTATATTACATCTAACAAAATAATAAAATGATATATATCTATGCACTGCATTGTGTAATTAAAAAACTATCTTCATCTTTCGTAAAACTAAGCAATTAAAAGCATATGCTTAACCTTGATTGTATTTAACACGAAAACTTTTTGAATTGAATTTCTTTAAATGGATTTCAATCTTAAAATTAATGGTCCTGTGAGACGAAAGAAAATAAAGTCTTCAGACTCTGGTCTCATTTACATCGAAACAAAATTATGAGAAATAAATGGATCATCATAACTACACCATCAATCCGCCTTCAACATGATAAAATTAGGTATTTGAATATCAAAGTACTAAAATCAAGCAGGCTGGTAAGACTTTATTGACTTGCAGGTTGACTAGTCTCTATACTGGTGGTGGTAACCAGTTACATAACTTATAATTTAAAAGGACTTAACCCATTACTGCATTCTAAAGTGACAATATTTAACCTTTGAACAGCGTAGAAAATAGAAGAAGTTAGCCATAATAACCGGCTAACACCCTAACAAATGATTATTTTTCTTGACCTATGACATATACATGCAAATACAAATCTATTATATTATTATAATTAGAATAATGGCACATTCATATGTAGAGGCAAGATTGAAGAAATAAATTAACAGTTCACGTAACATAGTAGATAGAATAGAATACATTATGTAGATAAATACAAAAGTTCGAAAAAGAAACTATGTAATTCTTCACAGATAATCTATTTAGAGACTAGTTGTTTAAAATAGTAATAATGATTGTGCGTTTAGGTTTGTTAACCTTACTGGCAAACAAAGTATAAATATGTACATGTACAGAACTATATATACACAGTGTAAAGCAGTATACAACCGAATAATGTATGTAGCACCTATTTTAATCGACTAAAATGAAAAAAAGAAAAATGTAAGTAAACACTTCATGTTTAATGACATATTATTTCAAAATCTCTGTATGTTTAACTTATTTGAATATTCACATCTTATAAATATGTGTCAATAAAATTCAGTTGTAATTTTTCCCCAACAACAATTTAACCAATTCAAAGTGTTATTTTACATGACATCAAGAAATATAAACAAAAACAAGAGCACCACATGCAGTGTTTAAAAATTCTAAGTAAAAAAGGGGCATAACTCCAAAATTATTGCTTTCAGAATTATGTCCCTTGTCTAACAACAGCAACTTGTCAGGATAAGCAAGTATTCCAAGTTTATTGATAACTTTTGAAAAGTTTGAATAATGGTCTTCATTCAATTTTTTGCACAACGACAACAACAAAATGCAGTGATCATAATATCTTGACCAATTCCTCAAAAAAGATGACCTAACAATTAAAAATTTAATAAAAACATTAAAATTTTGTAACAAAAAATATGAAAATAGCCATAATACTGATAAAGGGGAATAAGATATCTATTTAAAATACCAAAAACAAAAAAAAGAAATAAGGTCATAATATAAATTGCAGCTAGAATAAAAGATCATGTCATGTTTGGATCCTAAATAGAATAAACTTTATAATTAGTAACAGATATGTAGGTACATATAGTATTAAATAACAATTAGAAAAATTAAATCATGGAACATCCATTATTACAGTTTAAAGCTTGGTTTGTCTACTATCTTATCATAGATCTATATAACAAAATTATAAATAATACAGGGTGCATATAGTTGTTAACGAATATAGAGGGGCAATAAAAAGACAACAAAAAATCAATCATAAAAAGATTGTCTTGAGAGAAAAAAACCCAACAAAGTCCCCTGCCTAACCCTTTTCAGTCAATTCAATTTTTTAATTTCTGCATTTGTTCTTAACAATATTGACCCAAAAATTATTTTCATTTTAAAAATATTGAATTATCTCTACAAATGTAATCATATCTAAAACATTAATTCAAGCATAGTATAAAATAAAATCTCTCGGCCATTCATCAAATTTATAGAAATGACCATCTAATGCTTTGAACACATTAACAAATATGTCTGAGATGTATACCCAAACACAGCATAAGATGTATTCATGCATTTATATAACCTTATTGCAAATATGTATTATAAATATATATATGTATTTATATAAAATTAAGCTGAATGATAAATCACCCTTTTCCTTGGCAGATGATTAGACATAAATAAAGCTTGTTCAAAGCTTGGAAAACTATTCAAATTTATTCTTTAAGGCTTGGTAAAAAAAACATTTTCTTGAATTCAAATGTCATCATCGTCATCATCATCAACATCTTGAAATTGTTCATCATCATCTGAAACATCAAAGTCTAATTCTTTGGCGACACCAAAGTTTACAGGGCTGGAAGGTCGCACACGTTTAGCAGATGGACTGGTAGGTGACGAACTATTCGAAGAAGTGTTTTCCTCTTCTTGGCGTTCCATAGTAGGGGAGATGGCGCGAATACTTTCCTTCATCCAGTTACCCTGGAAACAATTAAGGTAAATGTTTTAGGTTAGTGAATTGGTTGTTAGTCCTGTTGAAATCTTGACAGGTTAAGCCGACAGGTTTAAACAGATTTGATTATTAAATAATTTCTTTTTGAGGTTCCCGAATTGGAGGTACTGATATAAAAATCAACAAATTTTCATAAGAATAATTAATTTATATAATAGATCTATTTACCACAAAAAAAATCATTCTATAAATCAAATTTAAAACATTGTTTTTATTTCTGTCTGTTCTTTATTTTGTGAGTAGAGAGAAGAATATGCCTATAATTGTCATTATTCAGCTAGTTCAATATTCAAAAGTTAATAAAAAAGATATTTTTTTTCTCAACATACAATTCTGCCATCAGGATTAAACAATGTGAGGAAGTTGCCTATGAACTCGTTAGAGCGGTCCTGCCAGTTGTCGAGCCATTCTTTTCCTTTGTCTTTCCACTCCCTTCCTTTATGCTTTAATTTATCCACCTTCTCTGTGAACTGTAGTTTCTTCTCCTAAACATGTACAATTTATATATCATGAATAATAATTATGTACAATATACAATGTTTATATTTATTATAGTAAGAATAGCTAGATAGATGTGGCATGGCTGAGTGGTTAATGTGTCAGCCTAGTAATCTAAGAATTGCTGGACACAAACTCCATCAGTGGTAAGCCGCAGTTTCATTTAGCAAGAATGTTTACATTCATTGCTTAGTACTGGTTGGTTCCAGGTACAGACTTGAGTGCAGCTTCCAAAACAATCAAACTAAAATAAATTCATATAAACTAATAGCTAGATAGATTTCTTTATAAATTCTAACAAGAGCCAATGTGGCAAGGAATATATGCAAAAGGCAAGCCTTCTAAAGCTTTTGTGCCAAAACTTAGACTTGACATATAAATTGTCTTTATGGGAAAAATGAATGTCAAAAAAATAAGTGGATTTATAAATTAAATCAAAATTAATTTTGTTAGGAAGGGGAGCATAACTTTACTCCACATGGAATGCATCTCAAATCATACTGGACAGGTCTGTGTTTTGATGCCATATACTAACATACTAAATATGAATTCAATCAACTATGTTATTCAAAAGTTAAGTTTGGAAACTTTCATTTTTTTCAATCAGCCTAGAACACAGTCACATTGGTCTGAAACTAAAATCTAACTTGTATACCAAATATAAATGTAACCAATATAGTCTTTGAAAAAGTTATTAGGGGGGAGCAAACTGTCTACAGATGAACTGATGGTGCTTTATATTACAAAAACTCTGCTGAGTTGATATAACTGTACTACAGATACTTCTCTGTTTTTCCAGAAAAAAAATTTAAATTGTGCAAAATTACCCAAAAAGGAAAATTGCTTTTAAACTCAAATCCGTCTAAGAATTGCACAAAAACATATTTTTTCTTTCTCATAAATTCTGAGTTTACTATATCAATTTATCATCTTTTGTCAAAATTTCTCTTGTACATTTTTGTAAGACTTTTCTATTTTCTGTTTTTAGGGTATTGAAACCAAGTGGAGATCCCTATAAATCAGACTTAAAGTAAGTAACATCAGAACATAATTTTCCTCGCATAGCATCAGAAATAATTCAAGATACATCCAGCACATTTCTTTTAGCCTGTCTTATATTTAAGGTCAAAAAACATAAAAACATAAAATTAGAAATTGTACATAGATAAAGTTAAGCACTTAAACTGGAAATACTTGGAAAAGATAATAAAGAAATACATGTATACACAGAATTAAATTGAAAATCCATAGTTATTGCAATTCTTACAGGGTTCGTACAGCCATCCATTGCCAAAATTCAAGGACTTTTTAAGCTCTATTTAAGCATGTTTTCCCATTTTTCAAGCACATTTGTTGCACATATATCAGCACAATCTTCAACCTAAGGATAGTTTATTCTGGCCACAATTTTAAGGATATTATAGAAGAACAGCAAAGGGCCAATCAAATACATGACAGTTGTGACTGTACATATTAGTTAAGAACTGCAATTTGACCACCTACTTTTACCTTGAGCAAACATTAATTTTCATTGATTTTGATACTAAATTGGATATTTTTTTTTATTTTGTTAACTGTTGATTATTAGCTACACTATGTCATTCAATCATTTTAAAGCACATTTTCAGCAAATTCAAGCACTTTTTAAGCACTTTCAAGTGACTAATCAAATTCAAGGACTTTTAAGCACTTTTTTACATTTTTAAGCACTTTTTAAGAAAGGGACTCAAATTTAAGCACTTTTTAAGACTGTACGAACCCTGTCTTAGCCAAATTTGAGTGATTTTGCAAAACAAGAGGGCCATGATGGCCCTAAATCGCTCACCTGACTTATCAAACTCATCCAAACAATTACCTAGACAAGCATTCTGACCAAGTCTCATGACAGGTGAGTCAAAAATGTGACCACTACAGTATTAACAAGGATTATCCATATTTGAGCAGTGTGACCTAGTTTTTTACCCAGGTGACACATATTCAAACTTGACCTAGAAATCATCAAAACAAACTTTCAGACCAATTTCCAGGATACTTGGATCAAAACAGTAGCAACTAGAGTGTTAACAAGATTTTTCTATTTTTAGCTCCAGTGACCTAGTTTCACATGCGATTTCGAACTCATCCAAGCAATAACCTAGACAAGCATCCTGACCAAGTTTGATGATAATTGAGTCGAAAATGTGACCACTAGAATGTTAACAAGGTTTTTCCATATTTGGGCGGTGTGACCTAGTTTTTCATCCAAGATGACCCATGTTCGATCTTGACTTAGAAATCATCAAAACAAACTTTCAGACCAATTAACAGAATATTTGGATCACAACAGTAGCCACTAGAGTGTTAACAACATTTTTCTATTTTTAGCTCCTGTGACCTAGTTTTTCATCCGAGATGTCCCATGTTCGATTTATTCCCAGCAATGACCTTGACAAGTTTCCTGACCAAGTTTAATGACAATTGAGTCAAAATTGTGACCACTAGAGTGTTAACAAGGTTTTTCTATTTTTAGCTCTGGTGACCTACTTTTTCATCTGAGATGACCCATGTTCGAACTCATCCGAACTTTCACCTAGACAAGCATCTTGATCAAGTTTGATGATGATTGATGCAAAAATGTGACCGCTAGAGTGTTAACAAGGTTTTTCTATTTTTAGCTCTTGTGACCTACTTTTTCATCCAAGATGACCCATGTTCAAACTCATCCGAGCTATCACCTAGACAAACATCTTGACAAAGTTTGATGATGACTGATGCAAAAATGTGACCACTAGAGTGTTAACAAGGTTTTTCGATTTTTAGCTCCGGTGACCTACTTTTTCATCCGAGATGACCCATGTTCAAACTCATCCGAGCTATCACCTAGACAAGCATCTTGACCAAGTTTGATGATGATTGATGCAAAAATGTGACCGCTAGAGTGTTAACAAGTTTTTTTCTATTTTTAGCTCTGGTGACCTACTTTTTCATCCGAGATGACCCATGTTCGAACTCATTTAAGCTATCAACTAGATAAGCATCCTGACCAAGTTTGATGATGATTGATGCAAAAATGTGACCGCTAGAGTGTTAACAAGGTTTTTCTATTTTTAGCTCTGGTGACCTAGTTTTTCATCCGAGATGACCCAAATTGAACTCATCCGAGCTATTATCTAAACAAGCATCCTGACAAAGTTTGATGATGATTGGGTCAAAAATGTGACCACTAGAGTGTTCACAAGGTTTTTCTATTTTTAGCTCCTGTGACCTAGTTTTTCATCAGAGATGACCCATGTTCGAACTCATCCAAGCAATTGACTAGACAAGCAATCTGACATAGTTTGATGAAGTTTAGTTCAAAAATGTGACCACTAGAGTGTTCACAAGGTTTTTCTATTTTTAGCTCCGGTGACCTACTTTTTCATCGGAGATGACCCATGTTCGAACTCATTCGAGCTATCACCTAGACAAACATCCTGACCAAGTTTGATGATGATTGATGCAAAAATGTGACCTCTAGAGTGTTCACAAGGTTTTTCTATTTTTAGCTCTTGTGACCTAGTTTTTCATCCGAGATGAGCCATGTTCGAACTCATCCGAGCTTTCAACTAGATAAGCATCCTGACCAAGTTCGATGATGATTGAGGCAAAAATGCGACTGCTAGAGTGTTCACAAGCAATTGTGGACGTACGACGGACGACGGACATTCACCGATCCTAAAAGCTCACCCTGAGCAAGCTCAGGTGAGCTAAAAAGATTGAGTGATTTTTGCAAAAAAGATTATTCTGGAATAAATTGGTTAAAGGAATGATTTGAAAATTTGCGAACAAGTCACTGATTCAGATCTACATTGAATGGACCACAAATCTCGGAAAAATATTTCCGGCCCTCTCATGTCAGAAGACCCTAATGGAGTCCCTTTAAGCTTTCATTACTTAACATACTCACACCCTACATGCTTGACAAGTGTTATAACAGTGGAAAAAGCTGACTGTATTACCACTACAAATATTAAGAGTATATTTTAGAGACATCAGTTCCATAACAGATTTCAAGAACTTTACCAAAGGCAGCAGCATAGCCCAGTGGTTAACGCGTCAGACTAGTAATCTAAGGCTTACTGTCTGCGTTGGTTCAAATCCTGTCAGGGGCAAGCTGTTCCCTTGAGCAAGAAACTTTCCACTAATTGCTTAGAACTGTTTGTTTCCGGGAATGGATTCGACAGTGTTTCAGTAAGCTTATAGCTTCCAACACAATCAAACTAAAACAGGTTTGTATAAACTAAACTAAGAGATTTACCTTCATATAGCTGACATTAAGTTCTTTAGCAGTGTACCCTCTCTGTAAGTTTCTTCTAACATACATGTCATAATCTTTTATAATCCTTGCTATAACATCTGTTGTAGAAATACCTTCTGTTCGTTGTGTCGTTAAAAACCTGAATAATTATAATACAAACTAATAGAAAATACAGCCATAATTATCTCATACAGTAAAGAACTAACTTAGACCTTTTTTCTGCCTTTTTAGAAACATCTCAGGAAACAATGTATAAATAAGTATCTATTTTACAAGGTTTATCTGGAGGTTGATAAACTTTGTGAAATAATTACTTATTCTTCCTTTTTGACTTCATAAAATATTTATATCAAACTTTTTAAGCAGAGTTCTATTAATCAAAGAAGTCTCTTATTTCTAATAGAATTTCAGCATGCAGGAATTCAATAATTTTAACCCTTTACTACTTTTTTTTTGTAATGAACTGGTCTTCTTAGAACCGTCCATTGTTATGTTTGTGTCCTTCAACATCAAAATACAACAAGAGCACTGCATGCAGTGTTAACGCTCTTCTGTTAAAAATTCTAAGTTATAAGGCGCATGACTCCAAAAATATTGCTTTCAGAATGATGCCCCTTGTCTCTAACAACTGCACCTTGTCATGATAAGCACAAATTCTTAGTTTCATTTTGATACCTTTTAAAATGCTTGAATAATGGACTACATTAAAAAGTTTTTGCACCAAGTTCTGGTAACCTAACATCCAAACACAAATATCTGACTGACAAAGATCGCATTTTTACCAAGGATTTTAGGTAATAAAGCTATACCAACATTCCTCTAGCCTTAATATCTTTATAAACATCATCTGTGTTCCCTGCTGTGTACGGAATGTCATCATGAGCAACAAAGTCAATCTGTTAAATAATAAAAAATGTACAAACATTAATTAATATCCCTAATAAATTTGTAAAAATCTGGCAGACCAGTCTCGCTTTCAATTTGGAACTGTTCATTTTCTGTTTAAAGGATTTCAAAAACATAATGTGAAAAATTTACCTGCCATCAGTATTGTCATTGACAACTAAGACTATAGATTACGTTACACAATGCTTCGCAGAATTATGGCCAAAAATGGCCTTCAGGGTTATTCCTCTATTTTGAAATGCATTACAATTTCAATAGTGAACAAGAATTTGAAGTTCAAAGTGAAAATCTTGCATAGCTTTTGAGAAATCATTCTTTACAAAATAGGTAACTAGTCAAATAGGGACATAACTTCTCCAAATATTATTTTAGGATTATCCGCCCTTGTGATATGGCATCACAATGATAATGAACAAATGAGAATTGAAAAGTTTAAATAGTTTCTGTTGATATGAACATTAACATTATACTTATTGCAGGATACATTGACCTTGACTTTTGACTTTCTTATGGTGTTTCAGGTATTTATTTGTACACTATTCTAACTAGTAAATTTTTCTTATGGTGTTTCAAGTATTTATTTGTACACTATCTCATTATTTTACCTTATGATGTGTGAGGTATTCATTTGTACATGTCCATGGAGCATCTGTGACTACCTCGTCCACGTAACGACAATGTCTCAATGCCTCGTAACGCTCCGTCTCATTCATAACTGTACGACCCTTCATTTTATGTGTCAAATTATCATTACACACTGAAATAAAAAACAATTGACTATAGTCAAAAATACTCAAGGCTTCAATTTAGCAGTGTTTAAGGTCATTTAAGAATATCTAAAGATAAGTGGTTATGGTTGTCCACTTTGATTCTACGGGTTTAAAACTCGCCATGGAGATTAATTCTTTCATGAACTAGTGTTCAGTAACCTTACAAAAAGGTCAAAGGTTTTACCCTGTTGCTCTTCTAAGCTACGTGAGTTTAATAGTATTGATGTTATCTAAACTCAGCAAATGTGGGTCCTTCCATCTAATCTTAGGGTGTAAATAAACTTTACTGTTGTAGCTCCACAGTGCACTGCCATTAACAAGAATGTAAGTAACGTGTGGCACTCATTATTGATATATTTACCATGTTGTTACTGTGAAAATTTATTTGTACCCAAGGATTAGATGATCATGGGAAAAGCCAAAATTTGTCAAGTTCTTGTGTAACTTACACTCTATTGACATGACCTAAACCTCAATAAAAAATGTTCAGTTATCACACATACAGTAACATCAACACACTGAAAGTTGCAATTTTGTTACAATAAATTCAAACCATTTAATGCAGAGGTTATAATTTAGTATATAGCTTAATTATATATATAATCAGACATTAAAAATCCACTTAACATAGATATTATAACTTGACTTATTTTTAAAATCAAACATGACCTCAATATCAGATTAAGAATCAATCTGTCTGGTATGTTACAATAGTTGTAATATACAGAGATTAAAAACCACAATTATCTTTTCAACAGACACAGTTTTACTGAAATCGTCATGTAAAACATACATTGCACCTTAAATAACAAGTAATACTGTCAAAAATACAGCAAGAATAATGCCTGGAAGACTTTTTTCCCCATTAAAAGGTAACATATTTAACTGAATACTTAGTATTGCTTTTTATCACACACCCGTGCCGATTTTGCGACTAAGTAAAAATGGTACTGCACGGTCGTGCATATATTTTGACGTGACATCATTAGCGTTATACAAACATAGTGTAAAGACGCACTAAATGTTAGCGTTATACTATAGGCGCGTCAATGAAAAATGACTCTATTTTTTATTTAAAATATAGAATTTTAAATTCATGTAAGATCTGACATTACTGAATTTATTAAACTCGTAAAAATAAAATAATATTATGCTCGCCAGAGGCTCGCATAATATAATTTTATTCAACTTGTGCAATTAATTCAGTGTTGAACTTACACTCATTCAACATCCTCTATATGGTATACACACAAGTATCTAAATATTGTTAAGAACTGGTTGTTTGTACAATAACAAGAACAAATTAAAGATAATTCATTTTGAACACAGACATATTTTGTATATAATATCTTGTACCTCCAACAATCAGGTATGTATTTGGACAGGCCATCTTCGCTTGCATGAGTTGCCTTGCATGACCAGAATGGAACATATCATAAATGCCGTCTGCATACACTCGCACACGTCTTGGTGCTGAAATATCAAAAGACTTGTAAAATACATTAACACTAAAAAGAGAATGATGTAAAAAAAAATGGGTTTTTAAACTAAAATTTATTTTTCCTCAATGACATAAGCAAATATTACCTCTTCCTGCTTGAGCATCAGCCAATGAGATCTTAATGCTGTAGTCACATGACTCTCGTTCTGATATAGCCGCCTCCTCTACATGTAATGGGGCTGCTCCAATACTGGAACCAAGGTTTGTGGGTAGAGGGAAAACCTGTCATTAATCAAATAAATAATATCAAAAACTTTGAAAATTTACAGATATTTATTGATTTAACCACAGTCTATTCTTTCATTCACAAATTAATATGGTCGTGTTGGTAGTTCACCCTCCAGATCAATACAGGGAGCCACACTGAATTTACCAGAGCATAGTACAGCCACGGCATTGATCCTGGGTAAGCTGTTTATCAGTACTAGTTGCAGTCACTTTCAAAAGGAACTGTTAACTTTTGTATATGCCAGAGCAGAGGTAGAGTGCGAATGACTATATGATCCGAGTCACAAAAACAGTGTCTGTGGCGTCCCAGAATTGAAACAGGGTCACCAGATTCACATTCCTACGCTCTACATACTGAGCTAACCAGCCTGCTTTTATAAATACTCATGCATTTACAAATACCTACTCATAATTATTTATTAATTTATTTAAATTTTAAATTATTTAATAATGAAGGCATAGAATGCCTAGAATGGAAATGACACCACTATAACTGTCCACATATTCACTAATGAAAATTATGTAAACACAACATATAATTATGCATTTATTAAAATGAATCACTCAACCACCATTTTTTCACCATTTATACCTCTTGGAAAGTAATCAAGGATCAATCCTGAAACCTGATGTTTCATTATGATATCATCCTCAGTATACTTTGAAAATCTACCAAATAACACCATTGAGACAATTTTTAACAATGCAAATTTTATCTTCATATCTGAGTATATCACATATAAAATAGATTAATTTTACTCACTGCATTTGGATATTTAGGTATCGCTCCACTATTCATTTCTTCAATGTCTCGACTTCTCTTCTTCCCATTCATCTTTTTACTAATTCTCTTTCTCTTTCCCTAAAATACCAAAATATATCACATGACAAGTTATCTTTTTATTATATTTTCAACATGTCTCAAATGCTTAATCTAATGCTCCTTTCTTTTAATATCAGCATCGTTTCCAGTGACATAGATTTCCTGTGCTCTTGAAATCAAAACATTATTTCACAGTAACAGACCCAAATGTTCCACAATTATTTGCATCCATTGGACTAACCAAATATATAAAATGTAGTCCATAGGTTCTACTAAACCTGTATTCCTTCATTTAACATCTTGAATGGAACCTTTATGTATATCAATGGAACACTTTTCATCTGTTTCATTATGTTTTACCTCAGAAATTTTCTTAAGTTTCAAAAACCCTCACATCAGTCATGGCTAGGTCAAAGTTCAAAACAAAACAAGTTCATTACACATCCATACTGGATACTTTATCTTCAAATCTTTTTGTGTATGTGTGTTTTTTTTTTAAAATCATTACTTATCTTTTGGGCATTAACAAGAGGGTCAAGATGGCCCTAGATCACTCACCTGACCCATCAAACTCATCTGAGCCACTACTTAGACAAGCATCCTGACATAGTTAGATGACAATTGAGTCAAAAATGTAACCTGACTAGATTGTTAACAAGGTTTTCCCATATTTAGGTGGTGTGACCTAGTTTTTTACCCAGGTTACCCATATTCGAACTTGACGTTGACCTAGAAATCATCAAAACAAAACTTTCAGACCAATTTCCAGGATATTTGGATCAAAACAGTAGCCACTAGAGTCCCAGGTGAAATGTGTACCATGGTCAACATAGTATTTCATTGTTTTTGATATCTGAACATATTATTTCTTGGTCGTCAGTGAAAAACCATAAATTGCCATGGTCACATCATGGTCTTAGTGCTGAGTATAATGAACATGTATTAACATGGTCATTCTGCAATCATGAAAAACCATGGTCTACCATGTAACAAAATTAAAGACCATGGTAAAAAGCATTTAATATTCACAGTAAATTACAATGAAGTACCATGGTGTACTATAAACATAATTTTTATGTCAGTAAATACCTATATAAATTAAATAAAAAATATGAAACACTTTTTTTCCTTCCCAAAAGGGATATGAGAGTTACATAAATAATGTTAAAAGAAAAGAAAATGTTGACCCTTCTGGGGTTTGAACATATGGCCCTAAGTTTCATTGTATTTAACAGTAGTTCTAGCCTTATAATTTGAATACTCTTCAAAGCGGAGGTAAACCTTACCACAATGCAACAGTCAAATATGGCGTCCAAATCCATGTGTGATTGTGTCAACAACATAATATATATGTTTTAAAGTGTTTAAACAATGGAATTAATCACTCAGACTTTGCTGACATGTTACCCAACACCCAGATTTAATATTTCACAAATGGATTTTACAAACATTATGGAATAAACACTGATAAAGATGCAAACACAAGGAAAATATACATGTGGGAAAAGGCGGGAACATTTTAAAAAGATGAATGGCAAGCACTGTTTGTTTTATATGCAGGCTGGCTGGTTAATATCAGATCATAATGGATATTTAATGTATGGTACATTGCCAAATGCTTCAAAAGACCATGGAATTAGGATAAAGTGACAAGTCTGGCAAAGTCTACAAATAAAAGTGATCACAAGGGAACCAGCATATTAAACATTACACAAAGAATATGCAGATTAATTAACTTTAAAAGAACATTAGATATGTTTGCCCATGTAAAAACTGCACACTCTTAAATTCAGTCAAGATATTCATAGTTTTATGTATACTATTAATATGAAATTAGGCAAAGCCTATGAATGGGGAAGTCAGTTAAAAAATCATTTATTTTTCCGTTTTAAATGTGTCATTCGGTATTTCATGCACCACTTCCGTTTTCACTCGGACACTCGATGATTATTATTAATCCGAAAAGTTGCGATTGCCTGTTATTGGAATACCTCACCATTTATCATTGAGTTACATTGTAAATGGCGGCGCCCAACTAAAACTGACACTGAAAATTTCATTGATAGGTATAGAATTCTATATATTTTTTAATTGATTTTTATTTG